CACAAATAAACACACACACATAAAAAAATAATCCCCATATTTTCGCATATTTTCTGGGTTTCTGTCTTCCCCCCCACTTCCCATATTTTCCCATATTTTCTCTGGAATCGACGATTAATTGTGTCTGTGTGTTTCTTTTCCTCCAGAACGTTGCCTGCGGTGGCGCACCGGAAGGGCAGCGCGGAAGTGCACATCCAGAGCCCCGCCGCTGAGATCCACGCGGCAGTATCCAACGAATGTATCATCCATGTGCCTGGGTGCTAAGAGCCTCGGGCTCGTCGAAGGACACAGACCCCAGCAGCCAACTTCAAGCAACAGCTGCACGTGCGGTAAGAGAACATGAAAGAAAACGTCCACGCAACGCGCGCACTGAATGTACTTCTGCCGGTGGCCGTCCAGACCGCGACGCGCACATATTGCGGGCCATGCCACCGAATTGAAACGGCTCTCCACGCAACTCAGCGACAAGGGCAGCTGGCAGTTTCTAAACGGCGCGCCGATAGCAGTGCCGCTCACATGTTACAAAAACCAGTTGCGGACCCGATGATGCAACATGCTTGCGAGCAAATCCAGGGCGTGCTCCACAACCTGCACAGAGAGTAAGCTGTCGAGCGCGGGAAATCATAGTCACGACGGCCGCCAGGTGCAACGCCCCCGCTCGACCTGCTGCGCGGTATTGCCACCACGCCTTCTCCTGCCGCCCGCTCGCGCCCGAAGAGAAGACTTGCCGCCTCAGCCTGCCACTCCGATGGCACGCGTTCGAAATTCCTGCCCCACGTCGCACTCATGCGCAACTGACCCGCTGAACGTATTTCCACACATGACACATACAGCGGGCTTCTGGACGTTCAATCAGGTGCTCGAAACTCGTCGCCAGGATCGGACCCACGAGCTTCATGTTCGGAAGCTCCCATCCTGGCATGAATCGATCTGCGGGCAAAGCGACGGCGCGGAGAACTCGGCGGAAGCTCAACTTGGCCCGCGCCCTCTTGTGAACAAAAAACAGGCTTCGCAGGCAGGCGTGGTCTGGCTTGGTGCCTCGACGTCTCGTGGCGTGGCCGTCGCCTTCAACCGGCTGCGGGAGCAGGCGCGTGAACTTCACGGCGCAGCGGCCGCAGGGCAAGTGGCATGTTGAGGGCCGCGTGGCCTGCAGGAGCAAACTCGAGGCAGGGAGCGCGACTGTGCTGACCCGAGTGTCTGCAAGTCGTGATCCGGCGTGGGCTGTCCGCCGAGAAGTAGCCGCCAGCGGCCTGGAGACAAGAACCATCGTATCCTCACGAGGAGCGCGCGTGCCGAACTCAACTACAACACACCAGGGCCTCTCGTCAAAAGTCACTGTGTGTAGTCCAGCGTGGGGAGACGAACCCAAGAAATTTGGCAACATATAGATGGCAATGCAACTTTGGTGTACCGTTCCATGGCCTCAAGGGTGCGCGCCCAAAAATCAAGTGGACCACTGCTGGGCGGGAGGGTATACTAGATCCGACAACCCTGTGAACGAAACCCGTGTGCGACACAAGCGGCGTTGCATCTCAACGAGTTTGTTCGGGGCGTGGAAGGCTCGCAACTTTGCGGAAACGCCGAAGCGGATTATGTCAAGGCCGCGCACCGCATGTTCCCCGTCCGCCGGCGTTGTGGACGCCAGCGAACCAACGTCAGCTTGTTCGACCCTGCTCTGGACATTCATTCATCAGCGCCGTGAGCTGGGCCGGAGCAACCATATCCACCAACATTGTGCACTTCCTGATACTGGCTGTCATGGAAGGGGCTGTCCGTGAAGAGATTCGCACGTACGCTTCCACCGCGCCCGAAGCGCAGGACAACACACAATGATGGGCGGCAGTCGTTCGCATGTCTTGAACGAGCCGGCCCCCGGAACGAACCAGCTCTGCAATCGGCCTTCGGACAATGAACATATCGTGCAGGGTCAGAACTGAACGGAGCATTTCGAGCACCGCGTATAGATGGTCTAGGGGAACGAAAAGTGACATAAACAGAAAAACTCGGAGGTCCGCGCGGATTTCTCGGATCGGCGCTGGAACCACCTCCGTGGCGCGCGGAGCGCGCCAGGGGCGGCGCCGGAGGCGCCGCCGGGGGGCCCCAGCGCCGATCCGAGAAATCAGCGCGGACCTCCGAGTTTTTATGTTTATGTCATTGTTCGTTCCCCTAATAGATGGTCCGCCAGATGCTTCGACGAGGCCGAGAAGCCCTGCCAGTCGATGCTGCCTGCACCGTGGGCTGCGCCCGGCCACAACAGCCACGCAGTTCCTTTGGAATATATGGGCACAGGGCCGACCACGTCGGGATCGCAATTTGCATGCGCTGGTAGGTCCAATGTAAATTCGCGCATGGCTATTGCAACTTGCAATCGATTGCGATTTAGCGATGATCCACACAACTTGCGATTCAGCGGTGATCCACACAACTTGCAGTCGAGACCAGGGGTTCACAAGCAGCGTGGTGAGACAAACCTCATGAACACGTTCGAGGGCGTCACCCC